TGACCTGCCTCTTGAGAAATCTGTATGCAGGTCAGGAAGCAACAGTTAGAACTGGACATGGAACAACAGACTGGTTCCAAACAGGGAAAGGAGTACGTCAAGGCTGTATATTGTCACCCTGCTTATTTAACTTATATGCAGAGTACATCATGAGAAACACTGGGCTGGAGGAAGCACAAGCCGGAATCAAGATTGCCAGGAGAAATATCAATAACCTCAGATATGCAGATGACATCACCCTTATGGCAAAAAGTGAAGAAGAACTAAAGAGCTTCTTGATGAAAGTGAAAGAGGAGAGTGAAAAAGTTGGCTTAAAACTCAACATTCAGAAAACTAAGATCATGCCATCTGGACCCATCACTTCATGGAAAATGGATGGGGAAACAATGCAAACAGTAACAGACTTTATTTTGGGGGGCTCCAAAATCACTGCAGATGGTAACTGCAGCCATGAAATTAAAAGACGCTTGCTCCTTGGAAGAAAAATTATGACCAACCTAGACAGCATATTAAAAAGCAGAAACATTGCTTTGCCAACAAAGGTCCGTCTAGTCAAGGCTATGGTTTTTCCAGTGGTCATGTATGGATGTGAGAGTTGGACTATAAAGAAAGCTGAGTGCCAAAGAATTGATGCTTTTGAACTGTGGTGCTGGAGAAGACTCTTGAAAGTCCCTAGGACTGCAAGGAGATCCAACCAGTCCGTCCTAAAGGAGATCAGTCCTGGGTGTTCATTGGAAGGACTGATGTTGAAGCTGAAACTCCAATACTTTGGCCACCTGATGTGAAGAGCTGACTCATTTGAAAAGACCCTGATGTTGGGAAAGATTGAGGGCAGGAGGAGAAGGGGATGACAGAGGACAAGATGGTTGGATGGCATCACCGACTCAACGGACATGGGTTTGGGTGGACTCCAGGAGTTGGCGATGGACAGAGAGGCCTGGCGTGCAATGGTTCATGGGGTCGCAAAGAGTCGGACACAACTGAGTGACTGAACTGAACTGAACTATGTTGTAGTATGCTGTCAGAATTTCCTTTCTTTTAAGGCTGAATAATATTCCATCGTATCTATGAGCCACATTTTATCTCTTTATCTGTCCAAGGTCATTAAGGTTGTTTCCACCTCTTGGCTGTTGTGAATAATGCCTCCACAAACAGGTGGACAGATATTGGTTTGAGCCTCTGCCTTCCATGTTTTTGGTGCATAACCAGGTGTGAATTGCTGCATCATGATCACAGCATAATTTAAACACTCTCAAGTAAACTAGTTTTGGTTTCACCAGGCTAACATTTTGCACCATCGTTCTTTTTTTCATCTCTAACAGTTTTTGACACCAGCACCTTCCTGGATGGAAAGTAATGTGCGTGGCAACATCAAGTTGTTTTTTTTTCTTGCTGGGTTTTGATTGGTTTTGGTTTTTCATATGAGCAGTGAAAACTCTCACGGAGCCAACTTTTAAAAAATCTATTTATTTTTGGTTGCCCTGGGTCTTCACTGCTGCACACAGGCTTTCTCTAGTCATGGCAAGAGGAGCCTACTCTTCGTTGCAGTGCAAGTTCTCACTGCAGTGGCTTCTCTGTTTCAGAGGACCGGCTGTAGGGCACGGAGGCTCAGCATTTGCGGCGCTCGGGCTTAGGTGCTCCATGGCATGTGGGAGCTTCCGACCTGGGACTGAACCAGTGTCTGCTGTATTGCAAGGTTCACCCTTAACCACTGGACCACCAAGGAACTCCTGGACCAACTTTTGATGGAAATGCCATCAGTTCAAATGCCTAGACCAGGGGGTTGGGGAGAGGACAAATTGGCAGACTGGGACTGACATGTACACACTCCTACATAAAATACAGAGGACTAATGAGGACCTATTGTATAGCACACGGAGCTCCATTCAAAACTCTGTAATGACCCACATGAGGATTTGAAAAAGAGTGGATGTATGCTTATATATATAACAGATCCAGTTTGCAGCAGAAAATAATACAACATTGTAAATCAGCTAGACTCCAAAAAAAAGCTTTTTATATGCCAAAATAGTTCTTCTAAGACAGACCTTTTGAGTCCAGATATGAGTAAAACATTAACCATATCTTGGCTGGTTGTTTGTAAAAGCTGCAGCAGAAAAAAAAATTTTTCTTGATTAGCACCATCATTTACAAATCTTACAAGTGGGATAATGGCATTTGTCAGTGAAATCTGTTGACTCATCAGCCTGGATAAAGAATCTGTTGTTTTTTCAGTTAATTACCAAGAAAAAAAAAATGTCTTCAGCATCATGTGACATCAGTATGTCTCGCTGTTGCTCCCTCTGAGAGTAGAATCTTTCCATTCTTTTGTTGAGCATCTTGTGCTAACAGTTCACTCATATAATTTTACACACTAGCATTATTAGGTTCTTTTTTTCTGAACAATAGGTCTGTTACAAATAACTTGTTCTTTGAGGCTTTTTAATATAACAAATGTGACTTATAAAAGCCTTGATCTGTTTGCTTTGTGATACCATAGATTAAAATTAGCTATTTATTATCAAATGGCTGTAATTTATAGTTAAGTTCTCTTCAACTTTTCTGAAGCCAGGGTTACATTTGTAAATTGTAATTTTTCATCACTAAGCCTGCCAGCTTGTCCACAGTCCTAAGCTCCTCCTCTTTCACTTCACACTTCATAATAAAACATCACCACGTTGAATCACTAGACAGGTTTGTAAAACACAAACGCTAATAAGATATACAGTGAAAGGGCATCATAATAACTAAACAGGAAACTCGCAAAAAATATTAAATCATTCTGAAATTCACTTCTAACCTACATAATTCATGTTTTACATTGTTCATATCAACAGCAACGTGGCAGGGAGGCTGTTGTGTGTGCTAAGTCTCTCAGTTGGGTCCAAATCTTTGCAACCCCATGGACTGTAGCCCACCAGTTTCCTTTGTCCATGGGGGTTTTCCAGGCAAGAATACTGGAGTGGGTTGCCATGCACTCCTCCAGGGAATCTTCCCAACCCAGGGATCAAACCAGCTCTCCCGCATTGCAGGGTGATTTTTTATGTCTGAACTACCAGGGAAGCCCAAGAATACTGGAGTGGGTAGGAACGCCACGAAGTCATGCAAAAAATATTTCTTCAGAAAAAAATTGCCTCTGGTTTTTTTTTTTTTGAAACTGCAATGCCTGGCTTGCGGGATCTAGGTTCCCTGGCCAGGGATTGAAGCAGCACCAGGTGCAGTGGAAGCGCAGAGTCCTAACCACTGGCTCACCAGGGAAGTCCCTCCTCTCATTCTCTACCACATCAGAGTGTGTTTGCCCCCTAAGTCAGTCATCCGTGCGTAAGGGGGAGGAAACCCGGAGGACAAGGGTGAAGTCACCCATCTTTACCTCCTCCTCCTCTCCAGGCAACAGCATGTTCACACATGATGGACAGACTTCTTGATCTCATGCTGAAAACTGAGCAAGGCCCCACCCACTGAGCACTGCAGCCAGGGCTGAACCACCCCTCACAAATGAGTTCCGAGGCTGCTCCATTGGGGTCCATCCCTGAAACCGTTGGCATCGCACAGCGCACGAGGTTCAAAAATAACACTGATTTCTTTTTCTCATCACAAGACAGAATCCCTAACCTAGAAACATCTCAAGCAAATTCTGTGGTTCTGCAGAACTCAGAAATCTCTGCCTTAGACTATCACTCCTGTTTGCTGGTTAATCCACACTCCAGCCCAAAAGAAGCATGGAAATACACTTGCCCACGTCCAGGGCCTTAAATTGAAGACCCGGAAGTTGTTGCACTGCTTCTGCTCTCACTCTTTGGCCAGCCTAGATGAAGGCACACTGGGAAATATCGCCTCTATTTGGGAGAACGTACCAGGAGGAAGAGGAGAATGTAACTGTGGAATAACTGTCCTATTAAAAATTCTTTCCTTGTCTGCTGCTGGCAACAGACACTGAGCCCCTTGAGGGCCATATCTCTTTCATCACTGGGAACCTGGTACCCAATGGCACTATGAATTTAGCCATGACCAAGCACTGAGGAAACAACTGTAGTCAAAGTGGGAACCTGAAAGTTCCAGAAGAACTGCACTGGTCACAGATGAATTCTGTGGATTTCAGCAGGAAGACAGGACAGCATGGTGGAAAGCTTGGAATGAGTGCTGACTTTATAAGTTCTTATTTATTGAGCAGTTTGTTTACACTCTTTGAGCCACATTTCCAAATTGGGATAAAACAAAATGGGGATAATATTATCCATCCTGTGGAGTTATTGTGAGGATTATATTTAAAGTGCATAAAGCTGGTCTCCAATAAATATTGGCTGTTACTTTAATTTTAGTAATAACCCAAGAGGGAGGCTTCCATTACTGTCAACCATCGAGACAAGGATGACAATGCTAATTACCATTTATTGTGCTATTACTATAAGCTTTATATTTTAACTTTTTGGTCCCCTATGAGGTAGCTGTTATTATCCCCATTTTATAGAAGAACAAACTGAAGCAAAGGAAGATTAAGCAACTAGACCGAGGTCACATACCTGTTTACAGTGGAAGTGGGCAGTTTGAACGTCAGAGCCAGTTGGTATCTAGGTACAACTGAGAACTGGACCATCTGGCTTCTTAAAGTTTTTTTCCAGTAACAGAGGTAAAGCAACTGCTGGGCTTCTGATGTCACCCCGAAATTCTTTGTCCAGCTTTGCCATTGACCTACTGGGTCACCTTGGGCCAGTCCCTTCCCCTTCTTGACCTCAGTTTCCTCCTTTTACAATGAAGAGTTGGACACAATGATCTTTGAACTGTAGCTTAGGAGGAGGCATTTGGAAATTAGGCCTGAGTAGATGTCTGCCTGTGACATCATAGAGGGTAGAATTCCATGAGAAGTCAGGCTTTCCTAGAAGCCCCAGTATGATGGCTTAGGTGATTAGGCGAGACAGGTGATCCAGAAAAGGCTCTTTTGGGCCCACATGTTAAGCTTTCCTCATTCCAGGGTTCCCAGCATAGTCTCAGATCAACCTTCCATGTCTGAAAAGGCTCAAAATGAGGCAGACACTGATGACTCAGATGTGTTCTCTCACCCTGGCTCATCAACCCCATACCATAGGCCAGGCCATGGTGGAGTTCACCACCATCACCAAGGTGCATCCCGTCACCATTGTGAGTCGCTCCATCATGGCTTATCCCATCATCGTGGTGGACCTCACCACCCTGATGAATTCCAAGACTTCCATGACAATGTCTTCTCCCGCCATGCCCACCACTCCTATCACTCCCCCAGTCATGGTGAGTCCCACCATCATGGTGGAGACCATTGTTCCACATCCCTTTCCCAGGATCCTTCCCATGACACTCTCATCTCCCACCAGTCCTATGGTGAGGACCACTTTGACCATGAGCACCACCATGGCAGGAGACACCATGGGAGGTCCCGCCAACATAGGGAGCCCAACCACCATGGTGGGTTTCATCACCACACTGAGGTTCTCAACTATAGTGGGCTCCATCGCCAAAGTGAGGCTTACCACCATAAAGACTCCACCCAATCTAGTAACCACTCCCACCTCAGTGAGGCCCATCATCATGGTGGGCACCACCACAGAAGGCCTACCTCCATGATGTCCCACCACCATGGCCCACCTCACCACGGGGAACACCACCACGGCGAGCACCACCACGGTGAGCACCACCACGGCGAGCACCACCACGGCGAGCACCACCACGGCGAACACCACCACGGCGAGCACCACCACGGCGAGCACCACCACGGCGAGCACCAGCACGGCGCACATCCTCGTGATTACCCCCACCGAGATCACCACCATGGGGAGCACCGTCATGGAAGCTCCCAACTCTTTGGCTTGTACATGCCCCACACTGTGACCTTAGGCTCCCTCGGCTCTGCCTATTCTCGTCCAGCAGTCTTCCAGCCCAGCAAGCCAGACCGAAAGACCTCCGCCTTCAGCATGGCTCGTTCCCTCAGCACAGTGAACTCGCACCCCTCTGAGACCTCCAACAAAGTCTGTCCTCAGGACTCCTCCTCTAAGACCTCGGAAAGCTGCCCTGAAGAAGACGGGCACGTTCAGAAGCGCAAAGGTGCGTCTTGAACTCACCCCTCGCCCCCAACTCCAGCCGCCTGGCCCAGGCTCCAGACCTGAGCCAGGCCTGGCCCGTCCTTCACAAGGCTCGCTCTCGCCTGCAGGTGTAGTCCATTGGCTCTTAACGCGCCTGACCGTTCATCCTCCAGTTTTTTATTCCTGGAATTAGGCACTTCTTCAGGCATCAATTGTTGGTTCATTCAGTCACTGTCCTTCATTCTCATGTTCACTTCTCAAACGTTTCCTATTATCGATGTGAAAGCTGGTGTAGGTCACTTAGACGACCAAACCCAGACTGCCCAGTGAAGGGGTCCATTGTCTGTATCAGAACATTTACCATTGTGGATTCTGTTTGTCCACATTTCCCCCACTAAACTGTGACCTTGTTGAGGACAGAGGGAGGAACCAGTGCCTGAACCAGGGCCTGGTTGGAGGGCAGGGAGGACCTTGCCTATTAACATATAATCCCCCCAAATTGTTCCCTAGTAGTTCAGTAGACATTACATTCGCTTCTTGAACAAGAAGCAAGGGATGTGTGTCTAATTGTGGAAGATAAGGTAGTCAGGAGGGGTAAGATATGTCAGAAGCATCTTGTAGGGAGAGGACGAGGTTACCAAGAGGATGGGGTGGCGAGGAAGACTGGGTCTTCCATGTGTAAGCTGCCATGTGAGTAAAAAGCGTGGAGTGTAAGAGCCTGAGCCCCTGAAATATGCTCAAATCCCAAGCAGGCTGGCACCTGCAAGGAAGGGTCAAGCCTTGGCTTCTATACCAGCGCAGGACGAGCATGCTGGCCCCCGAGTGAGCTCATGGCAGGCAGGCCTGGGAGGGTGCCCAGACCCCTGGGTCCCTTGTCCTCAAGAACTTGCCTTTCTGGCCCCCTTACAGTTGGCCGAGCCCCACGGACCCACAAGAAGGTGCACTCTTCGGACTTCTTGTATTGGTTGTGGGAAAAATTAAGCCACCTTATTTGGGGCCTTCGGAGAATGCTGAGGAAACTGGTTGACTCCCTGGCCCTTGAAACCTTCATCATCTTCATCGTCTGCCTCAACACCATCATGCTTGTGGCTCAGACCTTCGCTGAAGTCGAGATCCGGGGCGGTAAGAGCCAGGGAGCCCTGTTCACGTAAAGAAGGCCGTTGATGTTGTTCTGGGCCTCCTGTGAGCCTGACCAAGTTCCGGGTGATTTAAACAACTTAGTGCATTTGATCCTCACCCTGAGAGGTGAGCGACATTGCCCAGCAGTTAGAGTGAGGCTCAGAGAATTTTGCTGAAGTCTCAGAGAGTTTTGCTGAAGTCAACCAGACCGCCAGAGACAGGAGGGTCTTCTAAGCTTGAGTGTGTGCTGTTTATGACTACAGCCACCAGGTGGCGCGCCAGCTCTAAGTATGTTGATTTGCGCAGGCAGGATGCCCAGAACCCACGTCCGCTGGACGGATCAGGAGGCCCTGGAGACCCTGGAGGCCAGGAGACCCTGGAGGGAGGAGGTTGGGAAACCTGGGAAGACCGTCCCTAAGACTCCAGGGAGCAGAGTGAAGGAAAGGACCTGCCATAGGACCCATAAACAAAGGAGAAAAAAGAGTGGGCTGATGTTTCTTGCAAGCGGTTTAAGGCTCCCTTGGAAGCCCTTTACTATGTGAAATGCATTTAATTCTCATGAAAATTCTATCAGGCAGAGTGTTATTATCACCATTTCATAGACGAGGAAAGTGAGGCAGAGAGCAGTTGAGACACACAGCCATTGGACAGAGCCAGCTTCTCCCTAAATGGCTGCTTGCAAGTGAGGTTCCAGTGAGGAGGAGGAGGCAAGGGTTGCTGGGGGCAGGGGTGGGCCTAAGCAAGGGCTCTCTCCTCCCTCCCCACCCCGTGTCCTCACAGAGTGGTACTTCACGGCCTTGGACTACATCTTCCTCTCCATCTACATGGTGGAAGCTATGCTCAAAATCATTGCTCTCGGCCTCGCGTATTTTTTGGACCCCTGGAACAACCTGGGTGGGTAGAGATGGGGCCTGGGTGTGTGTGTGTAGCGGGAGCCCCTGAACTGCCCAGAGGCGACAGAAGCGGGGGTGTTAGTGCTGGGAGGGCTGTGGGCCTGGGCACGGGGCCTGGGCAGCAGCCCGTGACATCCGGGCATCCCTGTGTCTGCAGATTTCTTCATCATGGTAATGGGTGTGGTGGACTTCACGCTCATACAGGTCAACTCTTCCTCCACGCGTGCGATCCACAACCAAAGCATCTTCCGCATCTTCAAGGTCTTTAAGACCCTGCGAGCCTTGCGCGCGATCCGAGTCCTTCGGAGGCTCAGGTTAGCAGGACCACAGCTGCCCACGACAAAGCTGTAGATTTCCAGCATGCTTTTCTGATGAGTCTCCTGCCTTTCACTAGGCTCAATCTCTTATTTTCCAGAGAGGGGCTGGGACCTTCTGCAAAGTAACTAGCAAACCAGGGACCTACCACCTCAGTCATCAGCAGTCTGAAATGTGTCATCATCATCGGTTTCTGGGCACAGACGCCCACCCCACTGACAGAGCCTCTCTCTAAACCTCTGCCCACAGATTCCTGACCAACCTCCAGGAAGTGACCGGAACCCTGGCCCGGTCCTTGCCGTCCATCACTGCCATCCTCATCCTCATGTTTACCTGCCTCTGTATCCATGTCGCGGGGCTGGGTGGGAGTGTAAGGTGCTGTCATGGACAGAGTGGTGAGGCAGAATCGGAAGTTGGGGGCGGTGAGGGGAGAGGAAGAGGGGGAGAGGACCCTGTGAGCCAGATTTGATCCTCAATAGCCAGTCCTGTTCTCTGTGGTACTCCGGGCACTGTTCCGCTACTCTGATCCCAAACGCTTCCAGAACATCTTCACCACCATCTTCACCCTCTTCACCATGCTCACCCTGGACGACTGGTCCCTCATCTACCTAGACAGCCGGGCCCACGGTAGGGCAGGCCTCAGGCTGGGTGGAGGGCAGGTGCTGTCTGGGTGGGCAGACCCTGAAGGCTCAGTTATCCCATCTGCCAAGTGGGACTTCTGAACCGTGCTGGCCGGGGTGTGGTGAGGACTGGCAAGGCACTCGAAGCTCAAAGGAGCCCACCCCGTCTCTTCCAGGAGCCTGGTACATCATCCCCATTCTCATGATCTATATCATCATCCAGTACTTCATCTTCCTCAAGTGAGGGTCTGCCCCACTGCACGCCCGCCCCAGCTTCACTTTCCCCAACCTAACCCCAGGGGCACCCCCTCTGCTCCCCTCTCACTATGGTTTTGCCACCACGAACCCAGAGGAGGGTGCAGCCTCCCCTCCAGCCCCCTCCTGTCTCTCGCCTCAGCCTGGTGATTGCTGTCCTGGTGGATAACTTCCAGATGGCGCTGCTCAAAGGCCTGGAGAAAGTGAAGCAGGAGGTACTGAGGGGATGGGGCGGGTGGACCCATCGGGAAGACATGGGGAGGGGGGCACAGAAGCTGGAGGGAAGGATGGAAGGTGCTCTGGGACAGGCAGACGTGGGACTCTGGCAGAACGGAAGCGTCCTCTTTGCAGAAGGCGGCTGAGCTCCATGAAGAGCTACTGGATGACTCAGTGACAAAGCTGATGGAAGCAGGTACCAGCACCCCGCGTCTTCCCTGCCAGATGAAGAGTGCCAGGGCCAACTTTACTTATTTATTTATTTTTGGCCACACTGGGTGGTTTGCGAGATCTCAGTTTCCTGACCAGGTATCAAACCCAGGTCCCAGGAGTAAAAGTGCCAAGTCCTAACCAATAGACCACCAGAGAATACTCTTGGCCTAGCTTTTAGAGTCTTAGAATCTGAGACTCAGGAGAATTTTCAGAGCTTAGAACTTTGGTCCAAAGAACTCCACGACTATCCACCACACTGAGAGTCAATTCTTGATAGACCCATTTGCAAAACAACTAACTAGCCACATTCAGTTCAGTTCAGTCACTTAGCCGTGTTCGACTCTTTGCAGCCCCACGGACTGCAGAACGCCAGGCCTCCCTGTCCATCATCAACTCCCAAAGTTTACTGAAACTCATGTCCATCGAGTCAGTGATGCCATCCAACCATCTCATCCTCTGTCGTCCCCTTCTCCTTCTGCCCTCAATCTTCCCCAGCATCAGGGTCTTTTCCAAGGAGTCAGTTCTTTGCATCAGATGGCCAAAGTATTGGAGTTCCAGCTTCAGCATCAGTCCTTCCAGTGAATATTCAGGATTGATTTCCTTTAGGATGGACGGATTGGATCTCCTTGCAGTCCAAGGGACTCTCAAGAGTCTTCTCCAACACCACAGTTCAAAAGCATCAATTCTTCTGTGCTCAGCTTTCTTTGTAGTCCAGCTCTTATATCCATACATGATTACTGGAAAAACTATAGCTTTGACTAGATGGACTTTTGTTGGCAAAGTAATGTCTCTGCTTTTTAACATGCTGTCTAGGTTGGCCATATTCTAAGGAGCAAGCGTCTTTTAATTTCATGGCTGCAGTCACCATCTGCAGTGATTTTGGAGCCCCCCAAAATAAAGACTGTCACTGTTTCCATTGTTTCCCCATCTGTTTGCCATGAAGTGATGGGTCCAGATTCCATGATCTTAGTTTTTTAATGTTTTGAGTTTTAAGCCAGCTTTTTCACTCTCCTCTTTCACTTTCATCAAGAGGCTCTTTAGTTCTTCTTAACTTTCTGCCATAAGTGTGGTGTCATCTGCATATCTGAGGTTATTGATATTTCTCCCGGCAGCCTCTGAGATCTAGTCACATTACAATTCACCAAACATTCATTTCTGTTATGTACAAAGTTTATAACAGTTGGTCTTATATGAGATGATTTCAGCTGTCCTTGAGGCTTTTATCAAGGTGTTATACATGCTTGTCCAGAGTCACTCAAAGTGGATTGAGAGTCTGTACATGTTCATTTAAACACATCTGATTTTCTGGGTGAATAGATTTTGAGCCAATGGCTTTGCCTCCTACTGAAAAATGTTAGAACTTTATAATCTGAACTCTGGAATCCCACTCTTAGGACCATCAACACCAAAGGATTAAAGGCCCTCAAGTGTCACCTGGCCCCTCACCTGCCCCCTCCATCTTGGGCACTCAATGCAAAAAAAGCTTAAAACAAAAGGAGGAATTAATTGTCTCAGATTACTTAGCAGCTTGTCTTCAGTTGAAGGCACGAGGAGAAGGGGACAATTCCCCAACCAGGGATCGAACCCGTGTCCCCTGCATTGAAAGGTGGATTCTTAACCACTGGACCACCGGGGAAGTTGCCAGGCAGCAGCTTGACTTCCCCTTTCTTTCTCTACACCAGAGCCTAAAGAGGTGCTAAGTGAACACACTATACAGAAGCAGCTCATTGAGAAAAAATTTGGAGCCCTGACTGAGAAGTAAGGAGATGCAAAAGGAGGGGGGGTGTCAGGTCTGAGGGGAGAGGCCTGGGGGCCTGAGTGGTGGGCGGCAGGGAAAGGGGCTTTGCCTGCCTCTCTGGAAGAGGGGTAGGGCCCTAAGGCTTACATGGAGCCTTTGGGTGGGCTGTAGAGGCCTTGAGTGGCTTCTGTTCACCCAGAGTCCCCTGGTACCACCAAGAGGATCCCACCACCAGCGCCTGAAGGGCCACGAGAGCGCCCCCTCCTCCGCCCCGGAGTCCAAGGACCAGGGCAGGGCTGGCGGACAGAGGCTGTGGGAGCAGGGGTTCTGCTCATCTTTTTATCTGAGAATCATGCCTGTTCCTTGCCCTGGGCGGGTTTTGTAAGGACTTCAGAGGCACAAAGGGGCCCCAGACTGGCACCAACTCATGAGGTGGTGCTGGTTTAGTCGCTCAGTCATGTCTGACTCTTGTGACCCCATGGACTGGGCCCCGTCAGGTTCCTCTGACCATGGGATTTCCCAGGCAAGAGTGGGTAGCCATTCCTCCTCCATATACTGGAATGGTGATGTATGGATGTGAGAGTTGGACTATAAAGAAAGCTGGGTGCTGAAGAATTGATGCTTTTGAACTGTGGTGTTGGAGAAGACTCTTGAGAGTCCCTTGGACTGCAAGAAGATCCAACCAGTCCATCCTAAAGGAAATCAGTCCTGAATATTCATTGGAAGGACTGATGTTGAAGCTGAAACTCCAATACTTTGGCCCCCTGATGTGAAGAGCTGACTCCTTGGAAAAGACCATGATGCTGGGAAAGATTGAAGGCAGGAGGAGAAGGGGATGACAGAGGATGGGATGGTTGGATGGCATCACCAACTCGATGGACATGAGTTTGAGTAAACCCCAGGAGTTGGTGACGGACGGGGAGGCCTGGTGTGCTGCAGTCCATCGGGTAGCAAAGAGTCAGACACGACTGAGCGACTGAACTGATACTGGAGTGGGTAGCCATTTCCTCCTCCAGGGGATCCTCCCGACCCAGGAATTGGACTCACATCTCCTGAGTTGCAGGCAGATTCTTTACCGATGGAGCCACCAAGGACCCTCTCTAAAGAGCTGCCTGGGGCCGTGGAGGGCGGGTAGACTTCTGGCTGCAGGAATGAGGAGGGTGGGTCAGGAAACAGCTCAGAAAAGGCCTGGGAGGTAGATGTCAAGTCAACCTGAGGGGCCAGCCGGGCCCAGACAGCTGGGGACTCATGGCTGTGCTCACAGCAGGGGTCCTTGGCACAGACTCCTGGCTCTTAGGCCTGGCTCTGCAGAGATCTTTCTCCCAGAAAGCCAGGCCTGCCCCACCTCATCCAGACTGGCTCCAAACCAGCCTTTCAGGCTCTTCTCTGCTGCCGGCAGAGCTCGAGCCCCAAGCTCTCTGTGATCATGGCTCCCCCTCACCGTCCTGGCCCATCCTGGCTTTACGCACAGCACAGCACACACGTGTCCACCTTCAGGCCTTCACCCGCCCTGTTCTCTCTGCTGGGACGTTCTCTGGCTGCCGACAGCAGACATAGGTGATCAAGAGCTGGAAGAGCTGAGATCCAGTCCTGTTCCTTTCACCTCCTGGCTGCTCTCCCAGCTGCCCTCCACCCTCCACATCCCAGCTCCTCTGCCCCCAGTGTGGACTGGGACTTGACTCCTCTGTGATATTTTCTTTGGGGGTTTCTCAGCCTCCACACTCTTCCCCACTAGCCTACCTTCGCCTCCACTGAGAGTGGTCTTTGTTTTTGTTGTTGTTTTGCCTGTTGGTTTTAATCTTTCTTCCTTCTACTTTCTTTTTATTTATTTAGCGATCTTTGTTTTAAAAAAAAAAGTTTTGGCTTTTCCTGCCTTCTCTGAGTTTGCAGCTTTGTAAGGGCTCCTGCCTCCCTTTGCTTAAGGTCAGGGCACCTCACTTTGACCTTCCCTGAATGTCTTCATTTTGAATTCATCCATCCTCAGAAAACTCCTTCCTTGAAGCCCGCCTGGTCCTCAGGACACTCCCCGCTGTTCACAGATCTGGGCGCGCTGGAGCCCTGTCTATGCTTAGCAAACCCTCAAAGTGTCTTTCAAGCTCAGCCCAGTGATGCTTCTTCCAGAAGCCTTTCCTGACCCCCTAGTGCCGGATCAGGTTTCCCACCTCTGGGTCGCTCAGTGCCCTGTGTTTACACTTGTCACCAGTGTGAACACCCTTGTTTGCCTTCTGGGCTGTCACGGACTGAGCTGCTTGATGGCAGGAGCTGTTTCTGTTTTGCTTCTGTGTCCTCCAAGCACCGTGCGATGTTCACCGATTTCAGTGTTATTTGATGGCTGGATTGATAAGGCAGGCTGGCAGTGAAGGAGTTAATGAATGCGTAGTGGGTGGGGGTGGGGCCAGGGAAAAGCAGGTGGATGGAGAGATAGGTGAGAGAGGGACAGGGTGGGGTGGTCCCATGGTGAGTCAGTGGATAGATAGCCGGGCAAGTGTGCCAGTAGGTGGCTGAGTGGGTGCATGAGTCAGGGTGGGGTAGGTTGGACGGATGCAGGGGCAGGTGGTTGGGAGGTAAACAATCGTCAGAACTCTCCGTGGTCCAGGCAGATGGTGGGGCTGCAGGGTATATGTGGAAAAGGAGATACACCATGGAGGGCCCACACAGAAAAGGGCTGGCCATGGCTGAAAATGGAGGCATAGGGTGCTATGAGTGCGGGGGTTGAGGGGTGGGGATGCACTCTGGGGGCTGAGATGGCCTGGCTTTGCCCCCTCTCCACCGCCCTCAGGCAGCTGGAGACCCTGTTCCACTTCCTGCAGCTGGTGGCTGGCGTGGAGCATTACCAGCTGAAATTCCGCTCTCAGGCTGCTGTCATCGATGAGATTGTGGACACCACATTCGAGGTGAACCAGGCAGGACCTGGGAGGAGCCAGGTGGAGAGGGCAGGGCACTGGAAGGCTAGGCTTAGGGTGCTTGTGCCCGGAAGTGGTCCGAAGGAGAGCAGTGTGGGCCTCCCGGAAGCAGAGCCCGGGGCCATCACTTCCCACCCCCTCCCCCGCAGGCTGGAGAAGAGGACTTCAGAAAGTGACCCCCAGAGAGGCAGCCTGGGTCCAGACTTCAGCCTCTGGCTGGCTATCCACCGACTCCGGGCAAGCCCCCATATCCGCTGGAAGGATCACTGGGCCTGCAGGGGAGGGGGGAGGGGGGAGACGGCTAAGAGAGTTTTGAAACCCCAGGTGGTTCTGCGTCCTCACTGGCCCGGCCAAAGCACAAGGGAACCCGTGTGCGCGCATACACGTGCACCCTGCGTCATGTATACACGGGAGTGTTCTGGGACAGGCTTGTCCTTGGATCCCTTCCTGCCCCCCTGGGGCCTGGCATCCTGTCTGGGCCTGGCAGGGCCTTAATAGCAGCCGGGGGTGGGGTGGGGTGATGTGGAAAGTGGGCCAGGCTCAATGATGGACAGAGAGTGGGCAATCACCCTGCTTCAGGGAGGGAGGCCGGTCTGTCCTAGGAGACGGGACAACAGGTTAGAACAGCCCATGGTTGTCAGGAGCCCGAGGGACCAGGAGGTTCCAGGAATGAGGGCTCAGAGCCCAGGAACTCGGGCTTACCAGCACCCTCAGCATCCAGTATCAGGGTGCCAACTCACTGGGGGCAGCCTGAGCCCAGAAGGCAGAGGCCATCACGATACCCTGCCCTGCCTGGGGTCAGGCTAAAGAGCCTCGGGGAGGGAGAGGAGGGAGGCTGCTCAAGTCCTCCAGGTCTCAGGGTGGGGATGAGGAGGGGTGTGTGTGGTGGGGATGAGCCTCTGGTAGACGAAGGCGAGGGATGAGCGCCCCCGTAGGATGCCCGGGATGGCAGTGGGCACCGAGCGCTAAGTCCTGCTCACATCCAGCCGGAGGGAGGTCTCCCACCACCCACAACACCCACCTTACCTCTAGCAGAGTGAAGCTGGAGGGAATCGGGGACAGAACCCCAGAGTAGGGGCTGAGGGTTGACCGTTTCCCTAGCCACCCCGTCTACATCCACTCTGGACCAGACAGTGGTCATGTCTCCGGGCCCCAGAGAGAAGCAGCATGTCTCCTCCCAAGCCCGGGCCCGGCCGAGAGGACAGACCGACTGTGCGGAGGAAACGCCACATGGGACTTGGGTACAGATTCCTGGGGCGGAGAGATCACTGGCCTCACCTCACCGCACGACCTCACACATTCATTCAGCATTCCCTGCCCCTGAGCCCATGCCGGCCACGCAGGAGACTGCAGCGGCCGTAGCTGACAGGCTTGAGTTTCCCCCTGCATGGCTCGGTCCTGTCAGACTCAGCGCCTCAGGCCCACCCCCACCCCGTATGGCCTCCGAGGGCTCTAGGGGAGCAGGACCCGGGAGCAGGGGCTGTTCCTTGTCAAGTCCCAGCATCGGGCCGGAAGCCGGCCAGGCAGGAGTGGGCATGAGGCCTGGCCGGGCCGCGGGCAGGGGCCGCCTGGTGCTCTCCGCAGCCGCCCCGGCCACCCGCCTGAGGCCTGGTGCTGCCCACCCTCTGTGTTCCCGCAGGACCCGGTTCCCGCCCATCCTGTCCCAGGCACCCACGGGTGTGCCTCTGTGCATCTGAGACAGCTCCAGCCGGGGCCTGTGGGTCTGTCTGGGGGGCTGTGTATACATCTCCAGGTTGTCCTCAGTGTGAGGGTGTTGTTCCCGTGTGTTTGTGTCTGTGCTTCTGGGTTGCTAGGTCGTGTATGTGCTTCTGGATATGTGTGTGGTGTCTGGGAGCCATCTGAGGGTTCATGGTGGGTGTGTGTGTCTGTGTGTCTGGCGTCTTGATAAGTTCTGGATGCGGGTGTGCATCTTGTGTAGTGAGTATTAATTCCAGCCACAGATTCAGGTGTGCTAAACATGTTCCAACTCTATTTCTTTAAAGGACATTAAACTGCATCTGTGTCCTCACCCTTCCTATGCACGGTGGATTTGACCTCGCTCCCCTGGGCACTCCCTGCCAGCCCCTTCCAGGGGTCTTGCTCAGGACAGAGGGTGGGGGAGTCCTCCTGGCATGGGGCCCACAGTGTGTGTGTCTTGGCCAGCAGGGGCTCTGCCATCTCTGGGCCACATGCTGGTCTAAGAATCTCATGGGATGAGAGCTCAGTGTTCTGGGGCTGGGTGGGCAGAACCCCCCACGTGCCACTCTGAGCCGTCCTGGCAGCTGAGAGGGAACAGGGCTCAGGTGCCCCTCAGTCCCTCCTGGCTGCTATCTCCTTCTAGTCCTGGGGTATCATCTCTCTCCTGTGACTTTGTTTCTCCACCCATAACTTGGCAAACTCTGGGAGTCTCTGGAGGTTCATTCCTCTGTCTGTGATGCTGGGACATTTGGGGGACTCCAACTTTGGGAGCTGAACTTTGCACCCTTAGCATCTTCTGGGCTGAGATGGCAGAGGCCGAGCTTGGGGTGGTGTGGGCACCCTGTCAGCTGGAGGGTGGTTGCTGGGAGTGGGAGTGGGGGATGAGAGAGGGACTCAGAAGAGACCAATGCCAGAAGCAGTGCTAGCAATTTATTGCCGTAGATATGGTCCAAGGAACTGACATGCCCTCCACCCATGCACCCAGTCCTTCCCAGCCTCGTTGGCTGCCTCCCTCCCCCGAGCCCACAGGGGTCTCTACAGGGACACACAGTCGTGCTTTAGAAGCTGGGAGGAGTTCTTCCAGGGAACCACAAGGATCTCAAAGTCACAGCGCAGCTTCTGCAGAGAGAAGGATGAAAAATGTGGGGTGAGCCCAGGCCCCAGGCCGCCGCCTCCCAACAGCCCTGTGCCTGTGACACTCTGGGATGCAGAAGGAACAGCGAATTAGATGGCCAGGACCACCAGACCCCAGATCTTTCCAGCCAACCCCGGCCTGCCACCGCTGCCCCCCCCAAGTCCAGGGGAGGCCCCAGTCTGCTCCTCTCTGCACCCTCACCCTAGCCGCGGGGCTGAGTCAGCCAGACATCAGCCCAGCCAGCCAGACCAGTTCAGGCTGGACAACCTGAGGGGCCGGCTGCTGGGCTGATGCCTAACTGGGGACACAGCTGTTACCTCCTGTTCTGCTTCTGCGGCCAGGGGGCAGGTGGTGAGGTCTACGTGGTCTCCAGCCACGGCACTCTTCCGGCAGGCCGTGCTCCCCATGTCCACGGTCAGGTAGTACTTGATGCCCGCCACCAGCTGGGGCAGAGGTGGGCACAGGTCAGGGGTGCCTGGAGACAACCCTTGACCTGGACCGCTCACGTCCCTCTGTGTCCTCCCATCACCCATCACCTTCCCCTGGGCATAGCCAGCACACCGCCTTTGGACTCAGACCTGGGATGGGGGGACTGGAAAGGCGGGGAGAGGGCAGCAGGGACTTCTGGTGGGGGTCTCTGGGGAGGCGGGCAGAGCCTGGGCCCGGCAGGAGCCTGAGTCTCAAGTCCAGGCAGCTGCCCCTTCTCCCTCACCCCACCGCACCCCAGTCTGCCTTTCAGGAAAAGGCCAACTCAGGGTTGAATCTTATTTGAAATTCTGAGATTCTGCTCCGCAGGGACTGGTGACATTAACTGGATTTTGAAAACTCTGTTGTATTAAGATGCCGCCCCCTCCATCTGGGGCCCGGCTGGGGCCGCGCTCGCCGCCCCCTGCTGCCGGCACCGCCCCTTCCCCGGCCCGGCCCGGCCCGCACCTGGCTGTGGGCCCGGAGGACGGTGATGTCGCGGTAGTAGTAGTCGCTGTTGCTGCCCATGTTGTAGTTGGCCACGGCCGCCTGCGCCGCCTTCTGCACCTGCGGGTCGCTGGGTGACAACTCCTGCAGTTCTCCGACCTTGCGGTCCCCCGGCCGGGCCCGGGCGTCGCGGGGCAGCGCCAGGAGGCAGAATGCGAGCAAGGCCAGGGCCATCGGCAGCAGGAGGCTGGGACGCGCCATGGTCGTCAGAGTCGGTGTCCAACCGCGGCCAGAGCCGCTTTTATGAGCTCCGCGGCCCCGCCTGGCCCCGCCCGCCGCTCGCCGCGCGCCCCCACAGGCGGGGAGGGATCCACCCAGCCTGGGCGGTCCACCCGCGCGGCCGCCTTCGGGGTGCCGAGGAGGACAGCGGACAGGCCTGAGCACACCTGGGCATCACCACCACGCTGCTTGCCCTCCAGGCACACCTGGTGGTGAGGGCAAGGACCGCGACAGCTCCCAGCCGCAAGTGCCAGCACTGGGACAGTTTACAGAGACCCATCCCATATGAGAAACCAACAACAGCTACCAGCAAGCTCTTAACTGTCTCCTGTGCATAGCCTTGGAGAAGTCACTTAACCCTCACTGCCTCAGTTTCCTCCTCTGTGAAAGAGGTTGCTTCCAGGCTTCAATAAGTGCTTAGGGGAGGCCAGGTGCTATATAAACAGCAGGTAAGCAGGAGTCCTTACTGCACTGAGCTGGGCACTGTTTAACCCTCATGACCAGCATGATGTAGGGATCAGTGAGCAAGGGCTCCATTTTACAGAGGAGTAAACAGGACACAGAGTAAACGATTGATTTTGCCCAAGAACACAGCCTGGTAAATAGTAAATGGTGACACTAGCTTTTGAGCCCAGGCAGGCGCTAGTGGTATAGAATCCGCCTGCCAATGCAGGAGACGTAAGAGACAAAAGTTCAATCCCTGAAAAAAAAAAAAAAAAGTTCAATCCCTGGGCAGGAAGATCCCCTGGAATATGAAATGGCAACCTGCTCCAGTATTCTTGCCAGGAAAATCCCATGGACAGAGGAGGCTGGCAGGCTACAGTCCATGGGGTCACATAGATTTGGACACGACTGAGCACACACACACAGGAGACACAGTCTAACTCAAATCTGTGTTCTCAATCCAGAGGGAGCCCAAAGAATGAGAACTGGCCAGGAGTGTGAATAGTCCTAGCTCTGCCATTTACTGCCTGGGGGGCTTCCAGCAAGCCCTGTGACCTCTGGGAGCCTCAGTCATCACCTGAAGAAAGGTGACAATTCTTGTCTTCTAAGGTCTTGCTAATTATAATGGCCTGAAACTGGGTCACCCATAGGTAAAGTGGGCATATGTTGGAGGTACCAGCAAAACAGGGCTAGAATTTTTAACTTTTTGGCCACACCCTGCATGTAGGACCTTATATCCCAGACCAGGGATAGAATACACATCCCCCTTTGGAAGGGAGTCTTAACCACTGGACCAGTGGGCAAGTCCCAGGGCTATGATTTCTGGGGGGAATAATCTGACAAAATATAAAAGGCAGCACTGAAGTAGTCAACACAGGAAAAGTTTGACATTTGTTAGAATTTTCTACAATTAATATTTTAAGAATTCAGGGTGCGTGCTTAGTGGCTTCAGACTTTTTGAGACCCTATAGACTGTAGCCCGCCGGGCTCCTCTGTCCATGTGACTCTCCAGGCAAGAATTCTGGAATGGGTTGCTATGCCCCTCTCCAGAGGATCTTCCCAACCCAGGGATCAAACCAGCATCCCCTGTGTCTCCTTTATTGCAGGCAGATTCTTTACCGCTGAGCCACTAGGGAAGCAAAGTGCAGGGCAATTTGTACTTTTAATTAACTTGTTGCGGTGGTGGGGGTGTGTGTGGTGTTTTTTGCTCTTGGGACACTAATCTTTAGTGCTTCGGGGCCTCTGAGGATCTTACCTGGGGATGGGGAGAGGTTGTGGTTTTCAATAAGCAATGAAGTATTAGTGCTTAGTAAGTGGTAGCTATTACTGTGGTGAATATTATGAATAAGCATCCAAGATTCCCCGATCCCAACCCCAATTTTCAGACCCTCAGAATCCCGCAGTCAGGAAAGGCAGGGATTTCTCCCAAGGAGACGGGGACCAGCATGTAGTCACTGCCCAGTCCAGATGCTGCCCCACCCCCTCAGCACAGCTGTGAAAAACAATCTTGGGATGCCAAGGAATAGTCACAAGTTTGTTTTGGGCTCAGGTGTCTGCCTTAAAGGGACAGACCAGTTATGGAGTCCAAGCTCCCTCTGCTCAACAGGCCAGTGAATCCCAGAGACAAGGTGCTGAGGCAAGGAACACAGCTATATTTGGAAAGCTGGCCGACTGAGAAGATGGCAGACTAATGTCTCAAAATGACCATCCTGTTGCGGTCTGGATGCCAGGCTCTTTTATAGAACCTGAGGGAGAAGCAATGAGGAACTAAAGTCAGAAGGCACAACAGAGAGGGAGAGGCAGTGAGGAAGTAAAGTAAAAAGGGCCTTCAGTCTTCCAAAACATCTCCGGGAAGGGCCAGCATTTGGAAAGGGTGTGTTAATCCCTTTTTTGTAGTCATTCACAGGGGGACAGAGTCAGAGTCTCTCTCTCTGAGGTGAACAAAAGCACTTTAGTTCCACAGTCAGGCAGAGGGCCAGGGTCCTTTGAGGCAGGCCAATATGTTCTGACTTCCCAGGCAGCTCTGACAGTAAAGAATTCACCTACAATGCAGAAGACTGGGGTTCAATTCCTGGACAGGAAGACCCCCCGGAGAAGGGAATGGCTATCCACTCCAGTATTCTTGCCTGGAGAATTCCATAGGCAGGAGGTTGGTGGGCTACAGTTCAGGGGGTCACAAAGAGTCAGACATGACTCGGTGACTGACACAACACATAAGAAGAGCAGGAAGAGAGTCAAAGACACAGTTCCAGTGTGGAGTGAGAACTGGTTCTTCTCTGCAACAGACCCATTTGTGCAAGAGCTGGGGAGAGCTTGGCTTGATAAGGAGACCAAGGCCAGGCAGGAGCCCGATCAAGAGAACCTGGCAGTGGGGGAGCAGGAGGCCCACGCTGCAGCACATGCTGCGAGGGGTGCAGAAGCAGCCCCAAATGGCCAGGAACCTCCTCGGGTTCTTCTAGGTCTGCTCTTCTGTCACTTGGAACTCAGCTGCAGCCGCACTTAATCTGCACCAGCTCCCTGGGAAAAGCCTCTCGACTCACCAAGGGCCAGTGCCCCCAGCTCACCTGCCCCTACCCTGTCATTCCTTTGTGCTGACACCAACAAATCTTTTGCACAACAACCTAACAATTTCCAAAGACTTTTCACCAGCTGGTCTATTCTCACAAACACCCTGAGTTAGTAAGCACCATCATTTTGCAGGTGAAGATTAATCAGAGGTCAGGACAGCTGGAAGACCCTGGACCCAACCAGAGTAACATTAGAAACATAGTATGGCCTGAAACTCCAGGGACAGTCCCCGTTACTACCTTTCTGGGCTTCAGACTGGCACCCTTCAAGGAAGCAGCCTGTAACACGAGCTGGGCCCAGCTCTGGCCACCTGGTGACCTTCCAAGAGGCCTCTCACACTTCCAAGACCCAGGCTTACACTGAAACTTCATCCCTACTAATAACCATAATAATTTCTGACTAATTACCTAATTGCTCTATCCTGGGGTCTTTATTTTTGTTCTCCCTTTTATCTTCTACTGTTCTGAGATGTAGCTTACAGAAAAGTACAGAGTGTCTTGGATCAGCACCATACAGGTCAAGAAGTGGAAACTGCCACTCTCAGTCCTCTGTGCTCCCATGCATCACACCTGTCTCCCTCCCCCAGAGGCAACCCCTCCCCACTTCTCTTGCTTTACCAATGACTCTTGCAATAACCTTCCCTGGTAGCTCAGACAGTAAAGAGTCTGCCTGCAGTGCGGGAGCTGGTTTCCATCCCTGGGTCGGGAAGATCCTCTGGAAAATAAAATGGCAACCCACTCCAGTATCCTTGCCTGTGAAGTCCCATGGACAGAGCAGTCTGGCAGGCTACAGCCCATTGGGGTCACAAAGAATTGGATACAACTCAGTGACTTCATTTTCTTTTGCAATAAGCATTTTTCCCCGTCTAGTTTCACTGCCTCTGCAAAGATCCTCATACATGGATCCAGCTGGGAGCCCTTGTGAATGAACAAAGCTGCTGTGAACATCTGCTCAGGTGTTGACTCGGGTGTGCCTTGTGTCCTGTCCCATCCCTGGAAAGGAACTACTGGCTCACAGGGTGGGTCTTCAGTTTTACTGGCAAACACCCAACTGTTTTCCCCAATTGTTCACACCAATTTACACTCCCACTAGTTGGATATCTGTTCCTGTTGCTTCATTTCCTCATCAGAACTTAGTATTGTCTGACTTAAAATTTGCCAATCCTTTTGAGTGTATAATGGCATCTTACTTGGGTTTCTGATGACTTAATGTGACCGAACACCTTCTGACATGCTTATTCACCACTTAGGTATTCTTCTGTGGCTGTCCTCCAGGTCTTTCACCCATTTTTCTATTGTATCATCTGCTTTCTCTTGACTGCAGCTCTGGAGTCCTTTGTCATCTATGTGGGTCACAAAGATCCTTTCTCACCCTGGGTTAGGCTCCTCACTCACTCTGATTATCTTGAACAAAATTTCTATGATGGAGTTGAATTTATCACCTTTTTAATCTTTTCCTATTTTGAAATCAAGAAAATCTCATGCTATCCCAATGTTTCTATTTATGATGTCATTTCTCCCCTCACCAGACTTTAAGCAAGCCCCAAGGATGAGGAAAATTCTATAAACAAGTAGCTCCTGAACAACACCAGCACTGCATCTGATCCTTACAACAATTTCATTTTCCAGGTGGGGAAACTGAGTCTCAGAGAGACCAAGCACCATGAGCAAAGAACACCCATGGCTCTCAGGTCCATGGGTTTCCATGTGATGTTTTGAGGACCAGTCTGGCTACTCCCCAGTAGTAAGTCCATGGACATGTTAGCCTGAGCCTCTAGTTTCATCTGTGGAAAACTATTACTTATTATGAAAGAAAAAAAAAATGTTTGCACAGACCTTAGCTCTGAACCTGGTTCATATTAAGTCCAATGAACAGAAAATGAAAATATACCAAATACAAGTGTAACTCACTCAAGCCTGCCCACCCACTTGTGTTGCCCACACACTTTCTCCCTCCCTGAGAGAACAGGGCGGACTGCATGAGCCCTGCCCCCTCATCACAGAGGCCAGGAGAGAACATAACCAATGGCAGGTAGACCTTAGCCCACATCCCATCCACCCTTTTCCTGCTCTGACTCCCTCGGATTTTCCACCAGGTGCTGACTAACCCAGCTGTTGACCACACGGACACCTGGATCCCGGGAAGGAACCAACCCACTCTCTCTCCCACATTAGTGAGGGTTTGAGACACTCTGAAGCACCTGCCCAAGGCCCGTATCGCCAGGACGGCCGCCCTCAGGAGTGCGAGGGAAGGTGCCAGTTTCAGTCTGCACTGATAAGCAGTGTGGCAAACCTGGTCAGTCCCTGAGGAAAGGGCAACTCCCAGCCCGCATGCTTCCCACATACAAAGCCCAGTCATGAAGGCCACTGGCTTTATTGATTTAAAAAACTTTACAAGGACAGTGACTATTCTGCCAAAAAGACCGCCAAATGGCATAAAAGAGACCACAGGTGGGGGTGGGGGTGAGGGACAGGGCCAGGAATCCACTCAGAAAAGCTGTTAATTACTGTCATGAAACTGGCAGGGAAAGGAGAAGGAAGATGCATGCAAGGGTGAGAATTCCAAAAAAGTTGAAATGGTGAGGGGAGAGAACTCCCCAAAGGCCCTGGAGTACATGGGAAGTGTGCACGACAACAGCAATCTCTTCCTTTGTAGAGGACGGAGGAGTCGTCCTCACTAGGCTGCAAACTCTGGAGACTCAATGCTGGGGCTTGGGATCGGGGGCTCCCCAGAGAGCATCACAAGAAGGCGTCACACCACTCCCGCAGGCAGCCAAAGCAGTCCCGGGATTGCTTGGCATTGGCGCCGCACGTGTCCTTCAGCCATTCCCGGAAGAGGTCTTCATCTTTCTTTAGGACCAGAAACTGGCCGAGGACCACATAGGCCTGCAAAACGGGCAAAACAAAAGATGGGCTGCTGAATGCTCTGTAGGACTACAGACAAGACGACCACTTCCTGGGACTTCCCTGCTGGCCCAGTGGTGAAGAATCTGCCGTGCAATTCAGGGGACGTGGGTTCAATCTCTGGCCGGGAATCTAACATCCTACTTGCTGTGGGGCAACTAAGCCCGTGGGTTTTGGAGCCTGTAAGTCACAATGAAAGATCCTGCATGCTGCAACTAAGACCCCAGGGCAAACAGAAATAAAACATCACAGGGGGAAAAAAGGGCCACTTTCCTGTGGCTCCCCACACAGGAGCCCAAGAGGCAGGGTGGGTTCTGCCCGGCTGACTCTGCAGACCACACACGAGTGTCCACCCCCCACAGATATACACACCCTCCTCACTCCCCAGCTGCCGGCAAATACTGTAGTCGTGCCCCGCCCCCCGCCCAACTACAGGCGGCCACTCCACACCTTATCAAAGCCCCTTTCCTCCAGTTTCTTGCCCAGGACTTCGCCAATCCCGGCCAGGCTTCCCACCGGCTTCTCCCCCATGGGCTCTGCCACGAAGTCTCGGTGCTTTTGAGAGGTTGTCATCTCGATCAAGCTTAATCTGGGAATCCCAAGAAAAGGGAAATTAGGCCCGAAAACCCGGGAACGCCCTCAAACCCACTGGCAATCTCACAGGAAAAGAATGCCAGAGCAGCTGTTATGGGAGCTTTCTCGATTCCCCCCACTTCACAGATGAGAAAACTGAGATCCAAGCAGTCTTTTCCTCACTGTTTAAGAGCGAAGTCTCTCCCAGTCCCTGCGGGAGCTGGGTTTTGGTACCGCCGCCGAGAAGAAACTATCTTGCCCTAACAGGCGGCGCATGCAGGACAAAGGTATGATTTCCACAGTCGGTCAGCACCCAGGGCCCGCCCTGAAGCTGTCACTCCTCTGTGACCTTGGCTGGGCAAAAGCAGCACTGACTCGGGTCTGGAATGGCCACTTGGCCCGAAAAGCAAATGAAGGGCTCTCTGACCCAGCCGCCGCACAGGCTGCGCACAGAGCGAAGGCGCAGCCCGAGCATGCACAGCCGGCCAGCCAGCCGCGTCAGCTCCACACCTGGACTCCCGCCGCGCCCTACGCCGTGGACCCCGCCCCCAACGCGCCGCGCCCCGCCCCCTCCCTGCGCCTCGCTGAGCCCTCTCGGGGAGCGCATCGTCTGGCCCTTCTCAGCGCCTGCGGCCCCTCTCCACCCTGCCTCCCCCTCCTCCCCGCGCCCGTTCTGGCCTCCAGCCTGAGCCTTGCTCCGCGGCTCGCGCTCACCCGCAGCTCCCGTGTCTGTAACGGCTTCTCCCGCCAGCCGGCTGCTCCCGCCGCTACCTCAGCCCACTAGAACTTTCTTCCACTTCCGCTTCCGGATCGCCTCAAGGGCCGCCTTAAAAAAAAAAACACACAAAAACCTACATTGGGCACTTCTAGCCGCTTAGAGTCATAGAGTTGCGACACCACCCGGACCTCCAGAGCGCCCTTACTAGGTGTTCATTTCCGGTTGCTTCGCAGGAAGCCGGACTGCCTTTTGTAGTCTTGCTTCTTGGGAAGCATTTCCGGCTTCAGGGAACAGAAACCTGTGAGAAGAAAACTTTATTTATCTGCTGCACGGCATGCGGAACTTAACCACTTAACCTTGGCCGACCTGGTGGTGGGAAGAATTAGAGAAACGGACAAGGAGAGAGGCGTGACCAGGAGACTTCCGGGAGAGCGCCTGAAGTACGGTGTCCGACTCAGGCCGACACGCGGTGTCCTCCTCACTGCCGGACTTGTTAGAGTCGGACGGGAAGCGGATGCGCCCGAGACCTGAGTCCAAGCCGACTCCACCGTCGTGACCACTGGCGAGTCCTTTTTCTTTGCTTTCATTGCCTCAGCTCTGAAGTGAGTCGTGGACGAGCCGATCTCAGCGTCCTGCTTGGAGAACCGGGTCGTTCTGGCAGCTCTCGCGGGATCCGAAGGCTAGAGAGTAAGTTTGGATCTTTCCCTCTGAGCATTTTTCCTCCGGGATAGGGAAGGAGGAGGGCAGGGGACGGCAACTAGAGATGACACTTCGGAGTTTCCTTTGGAAACCATCATGACTTTGAGCAAACTCGAGGAGATCGTTAAGGACAGGGAAGCCTGGCGTTCTACAGTCCATGGGGTCGCAAGAGTCGGACATGACTTAACGAGTGAACAGCAGTCTTCTGGGTACGCATCAGTCGTTGTCTTGCAGTACCAGGGTCAGAAACAGTAGATGCCAAAGATCAAATCGGTCTCAGTTCAGTTCAGTCTCTCAGTCGTGTCTGACTCTTTGCGACCCCATGGACTGTAGAACGCCAGGCTTCCCTGTCCATCACCAACTCCCGGGGCTTGCTCAAACTCATGTCCATTGAGTTGGTGATGCCATCCAACCATCTCATCCTCTGTCGTCCCCTTCTCCTGACTTCAGTTTTTTCCCAGTATCAGGGTCTTTTCCAGTGAGCCAATTCTTCGCATCAGGTGGCCAAAGTATTGGAGTTTCAGCTTCAGCATCAGTCCTTCCAATGAATATTCAGAACTGATTTCGTTTAGGATTGACTGGTTGGATCTCCTTGAAGACCACGGGACTCTCAAGAGTCTTCTCCAACACCACAGTTCAAAAGCATCAATTTAGTCTACCTTGCCCTTAAATTAGCTCATTCCTGACCTGGCTTGTCTTAGCTGGTCTGTATCTGTAGGCTATTGAGAGACTGAACATCTGTGTGGTTGTGTCACACCTGAGTTGTACAAGCAGGTTAAGGAAGAAGTGACTTACCTTGCTTTTTCCCCAAGTGGTTCCCAGAAGGGCTTATTTTTCTAAAACATATATTTAGTTTTTATGATTATGCCAGTACTTAAGGGATAAACACAAGTTACTTTTATGTGTCTTATGCTGTGTTTCCTGCTTTGCTTATGATTATTTTGTTCTAATACTAATGCTCTGGGTTAGTTTTCTGAAGTCTAGAGAAATTGAAAAGCCAGTAAATAACCAAGGTGGGATTTGAGTCCAGTCAATTGGATTTCAGAGCCCATGTTCTTCCCCAGGACATTGTGTCACTCCTCGGTAAAAGGCCCGTCCTCATCTTCAAAAGAGTCCTGGCTTCTCAGCCTACCATCTAAAACACTCAGGAGGAAGAGTTGAGAGTCTCTGCATCCCTCACCTCCCTGGGACAGGGCCCACCATGTCTCAGGCCACCAAGAGGAAACATGTGGTGAAGGAGGTGCTGGGGGAGCACATGGTGCCCTCTGACCAGCAGCAGATCGTGAGGGTGAGTGGCATCAGGGACCGTCTGCTCTGCCTCCCCCACCCCTCCATCCCTCTTAGGCCCCTGGGGTTGGGACAGGGTGCTGTACAGCTCAGCAGGTGTTGGAACAGGCTGATGAAGCTGATTGGCTCTTGGTCTCTCCTGGACCAGGTCCTCAGGACCCCAGGGAACAATCTACATGAGGTGGAGACAGCCCAGGGGCAGCGCTTCTTGGTGAGCATGCCCTCCAAGTACCGCAAGAACATCTGGATCAAGAGAGGTGAGAGAGGCAGCCTTTTGGGAGACTGAACCGTTTCCTGTGGGCTTGGCTTTCCCCACCACAAGCAGGACCCACTGTGCTTTTCACTCCTCCCCTTGCAGGGGACTTTCTCATCGTTGACCCTATTGAAGAAGGAGAGAAGGTGAAGGCTGAGATCTCCTTTGTGCTCTGCAAAGACCACGTGCGCTCTCTGCAGAAGGATGGGCACTGGTAGGTGGTCCTCATGGTCATTGGTGGCCCCACTTCTCTGGGGATTTCGTTCATACCTGTGGGCTTAGGGGAGGGAAGGTCGTGGCATTTCAGGCAGGAACAGCTGGCAACAGCTCTTTTGCTGAGAGGGTTTCTCTGTCCTTTCTGACCTTGGCTTTTCTCTTGGCATAGGCCCGAGGCCTTCTCCGAAGTGGCTGAGAAACCCAACAATAGGAACAGGTGAGACAAAAGTCTTGGGATAAGGAAGACAGAAAATGGGGATTCAGACCTTGGTACCTTGAGGGGAAATATAGTTTTCCTTTCTTTGTATATCAGGTCCCTGGTGAGAGTGCCTGAATATGTGGTCATGAGTATGGCTTGAAAATCAGATCTGGGTTAAAGTCTGGGCTTTGCACGTTACAACCAGGTGACTTTCAGCAGGTTAAGCTCTTAGGCTCAGATTTCATCACCTATAAATTGGGAGGTCTGTAGGGATTAAAGAGACTGATGCTTGTAAAATTGCTTAGTATAGTACCTGGTAAGCAGTGTGAGTTCACGGAGTGTTAGTTGGTCATAGTAGAATCATTACTATTAAAATCAGCAGTTCTAATGAATTTCTGAGATGGGTGTGGGGAGGTAGTGTTTTGCCGGTGTTCCTTGGCCCAGTTTTCCTGCAGTTCTTTCCCTGTCTGGCTCACCGAGCCCTGACTGCTTGGCCATATGGTCCCCTTTGTGAGGCTCCTTGTTTGCAGGTCTTCTCAGAAGGCACTGGGCTAACTCTCTCCATATCCCCCGTGCAGACAGACTCAGCCAGAACTCCCAGCTGAGCCACAGTCGTCAGGAGAAGAGTCCAGCTCTGAAGACGATTCTGACCTTTTTGTTAACACCAACCGCAGACAGTATCATGAGAGCGAGGAGGAGAGTGAAGAGGAGGAGGCGACCTGAGACCCCAGGACCCACTTCTCTTGCTCAGAGACTAGTCCTGGGCTCCTCTGAGCATGGACATTCCCAGGGGGCTCTGTGGATCTTTCCCCCTGGATGGGGACGAGGCAGGCCCCTCTCTGAACTGACCTTCTGACATAGGAGAATTAAACCCCTGGTGGGTGCTGACTCATGCTGGTGTTGGAGTGGCTCTTTGGAGGAAGGAGGGACATGTGGATAAGATGACACACTGCTCCTCGGTGGTGGCCTCATGGGCAGATGGGCTGAGTGGGCAGGAAATGGGGAATTTCTGGAATCTTCCTAGTTTCTCCCTGTCTCGTCCAGCACTTAAGTCAATGCCAGGCCCTGTGTACTTCCTTGCATGTAGTTAATGCATGGGGCCATTCCCACTTCATCGCCTGCTTGCAGTTAATGCTGACTCAGGCATGTAGGATCACAGTGGGACTTAGTGCCCGCCTGCCTCTATGAGACACTCAGGGTGAATCTCGTGGTGCTTCGTGAGCCACTGTTCCCGTCTCTTTCATCACCTGTGACCACAGGAGTACCCACCGTGACGCTGCGTGTACGTCCCCTGGTCGGTGTCCTCTTTGTGGCTGCTCAGACCGTCACTCTTCAGCCACCCACATCATTTCACTTCTCCTTTGAAGCTTTTCACTTCTGACTGTACATTCTCCCTCTTCATTGCTGGCATTGACCTTGTAGTCAGTGCTCAGATGTTGAAGTTTACCTCCCGGCTCAGAGTCTTCCTCCCCTGCTTCTGTCATTGTTCTCTGCATCCGTTACTGTTGTCTGCATCCGTGGATGGGCCCGTTCAATGCTGTGGCCTCTTAAGTCCTTGATGCCCCCATCACTGAGGCCCTTCTCTTCCAGGTCTGTTGCCTGTATCCCTAGTCACTCTCTGCCCCTAACATCACTAGAAACTGCAGCACCATTGGAATTCAGATACCTGTATAATCACTACCTCCAGGCTTACTCTGTCAACTACCCCCCCTCCTCCCACAGAAATGCTTTCCCCCTACCCCCGGAAAAAATCCTTTATCTTCATCCTCCAGCCGTGCCGCATTCTTACCATCATGCTCCTATCTTCATTTCCTTCTTCACGCAGCATCTGTTCCACAGTCTACACCCTGTACTTCCTTTCTGCCTCCATCATGTTCATCTAGACAAATCTGACCATGGTCAACCCAGTCGTGCACCTCTGTGGCTGTGCGCAAGGAACTATTAGAGAAAGCAGCCAACCTGGCTCACTAGTTTTACTTGAAAATTACAAGTCTCAGATGGCCACTCAGCCCTGCCTAGCAGATCTACCCTAGGATGCTGTATTTGAAAACTTTTTAACTAACTCCCCTTCTGCTAATTACACACAGCAGCTCATTATTCATAAAGAAATAGTAGCCATTGGAGGGAACTCTCACCTGTTAACTGCCCTAGATGGTGCTCACTGATCCTCCTGTCATTTTACCGCCCACTAACCCAGTGGGACTTAAGCCTTTCCTCTTGTACTGTCTCTGCTACAGGACTTTGTGTCAGTTTTGGTTTTATCATCCTCTCTACTGGATGTGTTAGCATCAAAAGTATGATAGAGTCTCCCATCTGAAAAACAATCAGAAAAACCTGTCAATGATCCCACACCCTCTCCAGCTACCGTTTCATTTACTTGCTCCTCATTTACTCTTTTGTATTTGTTCAGTATAGTGTTACATGTATACACATACCTGTATGTATGTACATGTGTATATACGCATGTATAGAAATGTATGTACATTTATATGCAAAAAATTTACCAGCTGAGTTAAAGATGTATATGTGTGGGTATATTTTTAACTCATCTGAAGTTTATTTTTTATGGGAGATGACTAATTTTTTTCCCTTTAAGGGATAGCCACTTGTCCCTGTACCATTAATCTAGTGGCTCATTCTTTTCTCACTGATTTAAAGTACCTTTTTAAAATAAATGAAATTTCCACATTTTTATGAATCTCTCTGAAATCTGGCTTGTTGATCTTTGTGCATATGCCATATGTTATGACATGGTTGTTATTTCATTCTCCTTCACTGTTGCCCCACTGTTCCTTGAAATTTTCATATATGTGAGAACTTTAGAATGAACTTGGCAATTTTCATTTAAAAGGTCTATTAAGATTTCCATTGGCATGGGTTTTGTTTTTCTTGAAGCATAATTGATTTACAGTGTTGTGCCAATCTCTGCCGTACAGAAGAGTGACTCAGCTTTACATATATAGTTGTTCTTTTTAAAATATTCTTTTCCATTATGGTTTATCCCAGAATATTGGATATAGTTCCCTGGGCTACCATTGGCATGGTTTTAAATCTCATAGTTTGATTTGGAGAGGAGTCATACTCAACAGTTTCTGATCTTCTATCCAGAAATGAATTATGTGTATTCTTTTCTAAGATGTAGTTCTCATGTGGGTCTTTGTTGTTTCTAGTTCAATGTAGCCTTAAGAATTCTGATTTAGCTATTTGTTGTTATGAATGGGCTCTTTTGAAATTACACTTCCGACCATCAGTGGCATGTTGGAAAGCTGTCCATTTCTGTGCTCCTGCCTATTTGATCTAATTGAATTCTCATTACTTCTAATAGTTGTTCAGTTAATTCTGTTGGCTTCGTGGGTAGAAAGTCAAATCATCCTGCTAGAGTCAGTTTTACCACATTCTTTACACTCTTTTCTTAATGAATTACAGAGGGCAGGACCTCCAGTATAATGTCAAATGACACCTTTGTTTCTCTTAGAATGGTTCTCAGGTTTCACAATGAAATATTATTCTTGCTTTAGGGTTCTGGTAGGTAAACTTCATTAGGCTGAAAAGGTTTCCTTCTGTACCCAACATAATGTTTTTTCCCTTTATTCCACATTGACAAATTTTTGGTATCCATTGAAATAGTCAAAAGATTTGTTTTTAATGATTGCACTGATTTACATCGGTGTTGAACCATCCTTGAATTCTGATATAACTCTGCTTAGTTTGTGTTGGTTTTTGTTCTGTCCATGCCTTATAGCTTGCGGGATCTTAATTCCTTAACCAGGGATTGAACTGAAGCCCTTGGCAAAGAACGCAGAGTTCTAACTGGTGAATCACCGGGAATTTCCTGCTTAGTTTTTTTTTTTTTTTTAATAGTCTTTATTGAATCTGTTTCAGTATTGTTTTGTTTTATGCTTTGGTGTTTGGGCCATGGGGCATGTGGAATCTTAACCTCCCCAACCAGGTCTTGGTCCCACACCCCCTGCATTGGAAGGTGAAGTCTTAACCACTGGACTGCCAGGGAAGTCCCCTGTGGAACTCAAGTTTTCTATCCTTGAGTCAACTTTGGTAATTTATATATTTTTAGAATTGTATATTTTATGTATATTTAAGTTTTGAGGGGGCAAAAGGTCATATATAGTATGTATCATTTTGTACTGTCTTACTTAAAAGTGACAAAGGCTAGTTCAAACCAGCAGAAACAAACAAGGGCCCATTGGTCTGTGGTCTCCAGAGCAGAGCTGACCTCGGCCAGCATGGTTTTGTCAGGGTTCTCATTCATCTTGGATTGTCTCTGCTTCTCTTGATTGCCCAACTCCTTTCTCTCTACAGGTGTATTTTTCAGGAAGCTCCAGTTAGCACTCAGTCCTTACATAGCGTTACTTCTTCAGGCTCTGTGAATTTCAGGGAAGACTCACTGGCCTTCCTCAGATCACTTACCTCTCCTGAGCAAACCACTGTGGCCAAGGTTGAGTAAGGGGAATAAGAGGAGGCAAGATGAGCCACCCTAATCCATATGACATGTTTCCCATAGCATAGAGGAGTTCTTTTACCCAAAAGGCACAAGGGGTGAGAGCAGATAAAACAGCAAACATTTGTTTTTTGTTTTGGGTTTTTGTTTTTCTGCCACACCATGCAGCTTGTGTGATTTTACAGTTCCTGACCAGGCATTGTACTTGGGGGCTTGACAGAGCCCAAAGTCCTAACCAGTGAACCACCAGGGAATTCCCAGTTCCCCACTTTACCTGGTGTATTTGTGTGATTGAGGGGAGGGAGTGTTATATCTATAAGCTTGGCCTTGTACTTTTCTCCATCCCTCAGTGATTCTGTGACCTACTTCATAACCTCGTTTTTTACTTCCTGAAACCTTTTAACTTCCACTGCTTCCTCCCTTATTAGCCATTTAGCTCCTGTGGGTCATAGCTAGGAATTCTGATAGAGGTAGAATCTGCATACCATTCCCCTTTGTCATTCTCTACAGCTGAGTTCCACCTCTATTCTTTCAGCTTCCTTGTGGCATCTAACCACATATGAATAGAGTTCCCAAGGTCAGCTGAGTGTTCCAAGCCCTTCTTCCCCAATGCCATGGCCAGTCCAGGTGACTGACTGCCAAACAGTCCTGACCCTGCTGCAGTTAGGTTTGAGACTTGGGGCCCGTCAGACTCCATGTGTCTGTCAATTCAGGACAACCGTTATAGCCAGGTCGTTCCCACTGGAGCCTCCCGATGCAGCCCAGCTCACTTTCCTCTCTTGTCATCCAAGCACCCGTATATCTGTGCCAAGGAGCACCCACGGCACTCTGAACTGGCCCTGTAGTTTTTCTCCTTTCATCTGCAAACACGAGATACTTTTGACAGTTCTCACATTAAGACATCCTTGCATTTCTAGAGTAAAATAGCCATGATGCATTTTCAGAATATTGCTGGATCTGGTCTTCTGATGTTTGGGAGGATTTTGGCATCCAAGCTCATAAGTGAGATGGTTGAAGCTTTGCCTTTCCAGTATTTCCCTTGTCTGGGTGGTTTTGTTTTTTCAAGGTTATGCCAACCTCATAAAATGAATTGGAGAATGTTCTCTATATATGTGTTCTCTCTCATTAAATAAGTGTTTGTGTAAGGTTGAAATTTTACACTTGTAAAATTTTTGGTAAAACTTTAAAGCCAACCGTGGCTGGCATTTTTGCAGTGGTAGATTTTTAACTTTAGATTTTTATTGAGAATAGGATTGGTCAGGTTTCT